TCAATTAAATGCACAAACTTTCAAATCTATGGGTGTAGTATCTATGAAAATTATCAAATTTTTAGAATTGAGCAAACTTAATGGCATTAGACTCATCCCTAGCTGTAGTATCTATAAAAAATATCAAATTTTTAGAATTCATTAAAAAAAAAAGTTAATAATTTGATCAAATCTAGTTCATTAAAATACTTAAACTTGTAAAATCCATAATTAATTATAAAAAATCCAAATCCAGTAAACTCAATGTAATTTCATTCATCTATGGTTCTAATATTTATAAAAAAAATATAAAAATTTCATAAATAATGTAAATGTCTTATTAGAAAACACCAAACAACAATCAACTTAGGATATATTCAAACCACACAATCTGATGATTTCTATGCATATTGGTTGCTATATTTTTGTGTGATTAGTGTTGCATATGATGTGATGATTTTATCATGCTACTTGTGATATTTTTTTTTTGGGAAATTTACATACATAGCACTATGTAGTTATCATTTTATATATATAACACCCCATTTATTAATATTACACTTATATCACTCAAATTCCTATTTGACAACATTTCTACCACTCCGTCTCCATGCACGATAACGTCGCCGTCCCCATGGTTCGGCAGCCACCTACCGCCATCGCTTGCCATCCTTGACCTTAGCTACATGTCTATCTACTTGGAGATACCTTACACTCCAGGTGGAGCCACTGGCCTAACGGTGCTCTCGCTCACGAAAAACTCAGTCACCGATAGTATCCCTTCCACACTAGGTAGGTTGAGAAAACTCTCATTTCTCGATCTCTCCCAAAACTTGCTCTCTGGTGATGTGCCCGTAGAGTTTACAGGCATAAAAAACATCACTTAACTCAACCTCTCCTCTAATTTTATCACCGGAGTAGTATTGCCGGAGATTGGAGACTTGTCGAACTTGGAAACCTTGATTCTTGCTAATAATAGCTTCATTGGCTCCATGCCTCCGGAGCTAGGGAACATCTCTTCCCTCTTTACACTTGATCTCAGCTTCAATTCTCTATTCGGTGTGTTACCTGATAGCTTGAGTAATCTTAGGAATTTGCAAAATCTAAAATTGGGGAGCAACTTCCTTAGTGGATTTGTAAGTTCGAATATCTTCTCTGGTTTGTCAGTGCTTGAGTCGGTCACATTGAGCCGAAACAACTTCTCCGGCGAGCTTCCAGATTCGATGTGGTCGCTCTCGAAGTTGTGATTCCTTGATATCTCCTACAATAACTTCACGGGCAGTCTGTCGGAGCTCTCCTCTACCATCAACCATGGAATACGACATTGTTAGAATGCTGGGAGATGGAGTGGTAGAAATATTGTGAAATAGGGATTTGAGTGGTACAAGTGTAATATTAATAAAGGTGTGTTAGATATGTAAAATTATAATTGTATAGTGGTATGTATGTAAATTTTTTTTTTTATTTTTTACTTATGATATGATATGTGATATGCACTAGATTTTTTTGGGTTAGAAATAATCTAAATGTTAACGAAAATTTTTACAAGTGGTCATGTTTATGCATGACTATAAAAGGAGGCAAATTAAATAGTGATTAATAGAATTTTTTGTAGGTGCCTTAATTGCTTAGTCCCCTAAAAAATTAAAGCATAGCCAAGTGAACGTGCTTGCTAAAAAATTAGTAATGAAATATATATAATGCTTAATTTTTTTTATGATTTTGTATAAACTGTTTATGTTAACATGCAGGTTGTATAAAGTCCTTTCTAATTTATCATAACAGTTAGATGCATCTTAGTCAGGTGAAAGTAGTTAGAGGGATTGTAGTCAGAAGGAGGAGATCAGAGATCATAACTGGGTGACTGTAGTCTGAAGATTGTAGTTAGCAGATGATGGGCGTCAAAGGGATTGTAGTTAGGCGACGGTGGTCGGAGGGACCAATAATCAACAGTTGACTGAGGTTTGAGGGGTCTTAGTCGAGCGACAGAGCTCAGAGCGACCATTTTTAGGTGATGAAGGTTAAACGGATTGTAGTCGAGTGACGGTGGTTTGAGGGACCATAGTCGACGGGAGACTGAGGTTAAAGGACTGTAGTCGATGGGAGATAAGGTCAAGCAAAGGCTTAACATTGGTGGTCGAACAGAGATTAGACAATGATGGTTTGGCAGAGGTCCATTATTGGTGGCTTGGCAGTGAGGGCTCACTAATAGTGGTTCCTAGGTGGAGCTCCATGATTCTTCAAGCCTTTGAGGTCACTTCAGAGTTGAATGAAGGAGGTCGAAGAGAC